TGAGAAGAATGTGTCTTCTGCTGCTGTTAGGTGGAACATTCTGTATGTGTCTGTCAGGTCCGTTTGCTTTATACCGTTCAAACCCACATTGTCCTCATCGATTTTCCCTCTGAATTTCCATTGCTGACAACGGAGTGGTGAAGGCTCCTACTGCTGTTGTATTGCAGTCTATTTCTCCCTTCAGATCTACGATTATTTGCTTAACATATTTAGGTGCTCTAACGTTGGGTGTATGTGTGTTTATAATTATTATAGCATCTGGATGCATTGACCCCTTTGTCATCATGTAGTGGCCTTCTTTGACTCATTTTGTAGTTTTTGGCTTAAAGTCTACTTTGTCTCGTACCACTATGGCCACCCCTGCTCTCCTCTGCTTTCTATTTGCGTGAAATGTGTTTCTCCATCCCTTCGCTTTTAGTCTATGTGTGTTGTAAAGGTGCAGTGGGTCTCTCACAGGCATCATAGAGTTGGCTCTTGGTTTTTTAGTTTTTTAAATTTGTATTTAATTTTCCATTCAGCTTCGCTATGTCTTTGACTGGAGAATTTAATTGATTTACATTCAAGGTAATACGCAAGGACTTACCACCGTTGCCACTTTGCTCATTGTTTTTGGTTGTTTTGTGTATTCCCTGTTCCCTCCTTTTGCTGTCTGCCTTCATGATCAAGTGGTTTTCCATAGTGATCTGCCTGGATTCTTCACTTTATATCTGTTGTGTATCTGCTACAGATTTCTGTTTTATGATTATCATGAGGCTTACATGAAATGTCTTATGGTTATAACAGGCTATTCTGAGCTGATGATATGTTAACTTTGATTACACACAAGAGCTACAATTATGCTCCCTACCTCCCCTTCAATTTCATGTTTTTGATGTCACTACTTACATCTTTCTTATATTCCATATCCCTTAACACATATTGTAGCTATACTTTTACAAATAGTTTTGTCTTTCAGCCTTCATACTAAAGAGAAAAGTGATTTACACACCACCATTACAATAAGAGTATTTTGGTTTTCACCGTGTTCTTATTTTACCCACGAGTGTTCTACTTTTTTTTTTTTCTTATTGCTAATTGACATCCTTTTTCTTGGCTGAGTGCAATGGCTCAAGCCTGTAGTTCCAGCACTTGGGAGGCCGAGGCAGGCTGATCACTTGAGCTCAGGAATTCCAGACCAACCTGGGCAACATGGTGAAACTCTGTCTCTACGCAAAATTCAAGCAAACAACAACAACAACAACAAAATTAGCTGGGCATGGCGGTGTGTGCCTGCAGTCCCAGCTTCTTGGGAGGCTGATGTAGGAGGTTTCCTCGAGCCTGGGAAGTCGAGGTTGCAATGTGCCACGATCACACCACTGCACTCCAGCCCAGGTGACAGAGTGTGACCCTGCCTCAAAACAAAGAAACAAAAAACAAAACCCAAAAAACACACGAACTCAAAAACCAGATCCTTTTCTCTCAGCTCGAAGAATTCCCTCTGGCGCTTCTTGTAATGCGGTGAGCTACTTTAGGAAGACTATTTTTAATTCCTTCTTACAAAGTTTCTAAATCTCTGCTTCTTTAG